CTCCGATGTATCGGTCTCCGTTGGCCCAGGTGTACGTGCCCTTGCCTATGAATGCGCCAGTGAGCAAGCGAACATGCTGGATGCGTTGTACCGATCGACAATAAAGGGACTGAAAAGTACTTACCGTGCTTGGTGCCTTCTCGCCACTCGCCCTCGTAGCGATCGCCGTTGGCCCAGATCTTGACGCCATAGCCGTGCTTCACGTCGTCTTTCCACTCACCCTCATACCGATTATCATTCCACCACGTCTGACGTCCATCATGAAAAGTGGTGTTATTTTAGAACAGAACAGAACATCACCCAAGGGGCCGTGTGCTTATACCTTGCTTCCGTGGCCGTGCAGGTTACCATCCTTCCAGCCACCCTCGTAACGATCACCGTTGGCCCATATGTAAATACCCTTGCCGTGCTGTGTTCCCTCCCTCCACTCTCCTGTAGGTCCGAGTCAGACGGCATCTCTGCTGCAAGTTCGATGGTCGAGTAGTACTCAGGCAACGAAGGCGACGACGACGTACCCTCATAGCGGTCGCCGTTGGCCCATATCTTGACGCCCTTGCCATGCTTCAGGCCGTCCTTCCACTCACCCTCGTACCGCCGGCCGGACGGGCAGCAGTAAACTGGGTAACGATGAAAGATGGCATTGGTTAAAAAAATAAATCAGGATGAAGAGCAATCAATTGGGAACTGGGAGGGAGCGTACTGCCACGGCCGTGCTGCCGCCCCTGCCGCCACTCGCCATCGTACCAGTCGCCATCGACCCACACCTTGTAGCCGCGACCGTGTGGTCTGCCGTCCTTGTACTCGCCTCGATAGGTGACATCCCTCACGTCTATATCTACAGGCGCTCGCGCCGCTACGGGTCCCACGATACCCGCGTTCGTAAGGCCTACGTACGGCTCGGCGATGTGTTGCGGTTGGTTCGATCCATACATCTGCGGATGTGGATTGCCGCCAACGTTGTCGCCCCCCAGCATTTCCTCCTCGCGTTTGATTCTCTTGTTGGCCGCCGCTGCGTTCTCATCTTGCATGACGCGCGGGAGTGCCGGTGGGTGACTGTTTCCACCCCCTGCCTCCCCCTGCTCCCAGCTTCGATCACGCTTCGCTAGCATCGTTGGTTGGTTTGATCCAATCTCTTGGGTCTAAAATAAATGAAGAAAATGCCGGAAAAAGGCGTGGTGTTGGACGTGGTTGACAGACTTGTTGTGTCGTAGCTCTACTGCGAAGGGCCAGTGCTGTTCACCTTCTGGAAGTAGGCGTCTGCTTGGATGTAATCGCCAAGCGACCCGATGTCAAATCGGCCCGGCAGGCGATGAGCCCGGATCGTCGTTCTTGCAGAGAGCCAAGCAACTGCCCACACGCACCGTTAGGAAAGGGAAAGTAAGATTGCCTGGCCAAGACACTGAGGTGATGATGATGAAGGAGGAGAAGGAGGATATCGCGGGCATGATAAGCATTAGTACCCAGGGAACCTGGTGCGTCGACAAGTGCCAGCTTGCCCTCGGCTTCGTCAACATACTGGTTGATCAAGGGCACCGCGGACTTGCTGTAGATGTAAAGGGGCGGGCACGCCTTGCTTGACTCGGTCTCCTCCACCTTGGGCTTCTCCAGGAATTTGGTCACCTGCGACCATCACCATCGCCCGAGATAAGAGGGCAAACACAGTGTTAGACTCCACAATGTTTTGATCGTGGTAGTAGAGGAGCATGATCATTGCCTTGTCGTTCTCATCAACCTCGATGATGCCTCGCTTGGTGACCTCCTGCCTGTCCTTGATCTCATAGTAGGTGATGAGGCTCTCGCCGGCCGCCAGGCTCTTGAAGTGGTCTATGACCTCCTCCAGCTTGAAGTCCGTGTCGAAGAGCGTGTCGCCCGCAACCGCCAAGAGGTCGCCGCTCAGGTCCTTCATCTGCGCACCAACATTGCCGCCCACGAGAAGATCAGTGGATAAGTCGCAAATCAGTTGAGCAATAGCACCACAGCGATAAAGAGAAAAGAGAAGACGTACCTTCATGGCCAGGTGCAGCGCGCCGATGGCGCCCTTGCGCTCCTCGTTGCACGTCGACCCATCGTTGATGATGTGGTCGAGCGGAAAGGCGCGCCCCTCGGCCCACCGCTTGAAGTGTTCCTCGTGCCGCGTGTTGCACACGACGTAGACCGGCGCCACGCCGCTGCGCTCGAACGCCTCCATCCAATAGTCCAACAGGGGCTTGCCGCCCACTGGGACTAATGCCTTCGGAAGACCCACCAAGTGGCCATACTGGGGAAGTAGTACTATTATTATTATTATGATTAATAAACCAAAATAAACAGAACAGAAAGAGAAGTTGTACGAGGCCAGAGGTGTCCTGCCGAAGGTCGCGTTCCAGGCGGGTGCCGTAGCCAGCAGCCAGCACGACAGCGCCCACTCCCTTTCCCTCCATCTCTTGTCGTGACAGCACTAAAAAAAGAAACTATTTTCCCAGATAAAGAAAAACTATTTTTATTCTATTCCACAGCCGCGGTGAGGTGCTCGATGCGTGCAGCAGCTGGCCGCCGCAGGCTCTATCTTGCTCTGCCGAGCACGCCCTTTGAGGTACCCCCCCTTTGTTTGCACTCACCCTTTCATCATCTTGAATCAAAATAGTAGATTAAATAATAATAATAATTTGGCTGTCAGCAGGGACGTGGTGCCCGCACCGGATTGCTTGTGGGGCCACACAGGCGTGGTCTCGCGACCTCTGCACCTCCGGGCGGCTCCTCCCCATCGACCACAACACTGCCGGTGTGGTCGCGGCAGTGGCTGCGACGCGGGATCGGGCCTGGGCCTGGGCCTTGCCGCCCTTGCTGGCTTCTCTGCCGCTGCCTACACCAGTTAGGTTTCGCGTCTGTCATGTTCTGCGGCTCAGTGTTGCCTTGAGGTGAAGCTTTCCTCTGATCTATGTAACTCAATTGCGATACTGCAGGTCAGTGGGAGTTGGGCGACCGAGGCCGGTGGGTCGTGGCCCGCGTCGGGGCCCATCAGCTGGTGCGCGCTCTGCGGTGGAGCCATCCGGCAGTGCTCCCGCAGGTCCTGCCAGCCATTGCACACCTTTCGACCTCAAGTAAGTAGTAGCACATGCGCTGTGCTGACGCCTAAAGCTGACCAATTCTTGCCGCAGTCGAAGGGGCCAACGAGCTCGCGGCTCACAACGTGTTGAACATACTGTGCCGCCCGGAGATCGGCCTGTCGCCGGACCCGCACATTCGCTTCTATGCTGCCATGATCATCTCCAACATGCTCAAGGCCGGTGCGCATTTTACCACCTTCTCTCTCGCGCTTGAGCTCCTGCTCCTTACCGAATGCCGCGGCCACGACTCTTGCTCTAGATCGACGGATGCTGTCGCAGCTGTCGTTGGACGAGGCCAACAGATATGTGGCGGGTGTGATCGCAATCGAAAGAGAGCAGCAAGGACCGTTCGCCTCTTCTGTACAGCTCTACATCACCCGAATCCTCACAACACTCTTTGCGTCCGAAGGTACACTCAATCACACACCGGCCCTGCGCAGACTATTATTATTGCTATTATTATTTGATGCCTGGCCTTGACAACCTGCACCTTGCCACCGCAGAGCCACGAGAAGCAGCAGAGGTGCTGCTGGCTGTGGGTCTCTCCACAGTGTCAGACCTGACAGCGCCTTGGCCTGGCACGACCCAGGCCGTCGAAGGTGCCGAGGCTGACTACCAGGCCTTTTACCACAGCCT